CTGCACCTATTAGTATGCAACCCTGATGTGTCAGTTATCTCCCACTGAGCCTAAAATAAGCACATGTTTGTTGTGTTATGAAAGGGGGGGGGGGCACTGAAGAACAAGGTGGGGGTTGGGACCAAAGTAGCAGCCTGGCAAGAGCAGGCTGTTCCAGTAAAAGACCCGCTGGAACACTGGTGCGTTTGGGGGTGAAAGTTTCCCACGGGAAGATGCACAGTCACACTGGAATCATTCTGAAGTATTCAAAAGTCAAGTAAGGAGCTGATCTGAGATCGATGTCTTGGGTGTCAGGATTACAACTTGGCAACATTAGACGGAGGGGGTAAAGGGTCTTCCTGAAGACACTCAACTGAAATGTAGCTAATTATAGATAGAAACACACAAAGCGCACATGGAAATAGCCTCTGCTGATAGAATAAAAACTGCCTTGCAAATTTTGCAGAGGAAAGGCTTGAGATGGTATTAGAATATTTGTGAATGTCACTATATTACGGAGAGTGACAACTAAGGAGTAAGAAGTAAGTATACATAAACATAATATAGGATCGGGTACAGTAAGTGACATGAAATTGCTTTTACAAAGAGAACAACTCCTGCAAGTCTGTAGGGTTTACTGGTGATTGCTAATGTGCATGTAAAAGTGAATGAAAGTCACCCAGGAGAAATGCAAATTCTTAAAGGAAATAACAAAGCACATGTCAGTGCATCGATACTGCTGGGAGCAGGTTCAAGGTAGCCTTGTGTTTCTCTACCTCCATGTGCCCTACAGTGTACACTCTATGTTGTTTTTTGTTTGTAGAATAATATGTAGGTTTGATTTATTAGAATGGACAGAACTACTGCACCTCAGTTTACACAAAAGCTCAAGTACTACTAATAATCACAACATCTGCTTTAAGACGCTGCTGTATTAGAATCTGATTATAGCTTGTTAGAGTCTCAGAGCTCTGCTAATGACAGGAAACATTATCAGCTTCCAGTTAATGACCACATCACTGCAATACTGCCTATCTTCACTGTCATGTAATTCACTTTTACTCTGTGTTGACTTACTGTGGGCTCCCTTATGTTGACCAAGGACTCATTGGCCCTCTGTTGTGTTTCACATTAGATGAGATAACTCTCAGCAACACTCTATTCTATTTTTATTTCTATTCATATGGTACTTAGAATTGCAACTGTAGAGCCAGGCAACAAGCCAGCTTAGGGTGTGACCTTCGCTCAACCTGCATACATCCTCAATGATATACTTTACAACCCCGTACACAAAAAACCCAGTTATATTCCCTTAATACTGCTTTAACAACTTTTAGTGTGTCTGTGGCAGTCACTGCTTACTTTAAAGTGACATTAAGAGGATTTGTGATAATAAACACAGTCCTGTTACATTCCTGTAACCTTCTTATGGTACTTGGAACTATGGGTGCTCAATTGTGAATTTATAGACATCCTAAAGTACTATATGTTGTTTTGCACTTTGAACTATACACTTTAAAACCCCCATAATGTAAGGTAACTTCACTTTTCTTGTGACATAAAAGTTAAGATGTTTTATGTTTGTGTTGGTATTAATTTATGTATCCTTATTATATTGACATAGATATTTTCACAAGGGTAAAACTGCAATACATCCTGAGTTGTATGGAGACATTCCACAAGACCACATTCAAGTGAAGCCTTCTAAAAACTACTGCAGTAAGTGACAGCTTGACTGTTCCAAGTATCTGGCAGCCTGGCTTTTGAAAGAAAGCAGAGAGATGTCACATACCTTTTCTTTAAATGAGCTGTCAAACTGTATTTTCCTCCAAAAATCCCAATGCTTGCATGATCCGAGCAGAGACTAGTTTCATGCTGCCCTTCAGGCAAATCTGACCAACCCCGACCACTCACCAACAGCTGTCAAGCTAGGCATAGTAGCAAATACATATTTTCCTGTTATCACTTTCAAAATAAAACACTTACTGGCAAACACCACACTGACGTTTTAGTTTGGAATAATAAAAGACCAAAGTGACGTTTAGACACTATTTAGGGTCCGAGCACGAAACGTGTGAAGTCCCTACTGGAACTGAAGGGATTTTTTTCTTTTTTTCTGCAAAGTAAGCTGGTTTTGACCGTGGCATGGCATTGAAAACCAACAAAACAGGAAGTTGTATCAATTAATCATTAATCATCATTAATCATTATTAATCCATGTTGTAAAATTTGTGAGTTTTCAGTTAACGACGTGACGGTGGTGTGGCGGTGAAGTTAAACGCTTCGCAATCCATTACACAGGAAGTTCTTGTAACTTGATTGTGCATGCTCAGATCTGTACCAAATTTTACACTTTGACAAGAGTCGCACCCTGAACACATGTACATGCCAGCATTCACCCATAGTCATAGCGCCACCTACTGGCAGGAAGTGACATTCAATGAAGCAGCCCCCGCAACACGTTTCACCAGATGTATGAAATTTCTGTGACATGTATCATGTCTAGATGTATTAAAAAGCCATTTTGAATTTTATGGTAATTTTTGGACGATTTACATATTCCATACTTTAATAAACTCCTGCTAGGGATTTAGCCAGACCAACTTCAGATTTTTCTGTGCAGTGTAATCCCACTGATGATTAAAAGTTGTACAAACGGTGAGTTTTCGTGTAAGGGCGTGCCCATGGCGTCCAGTATCGATGCTTCGCCATGAAAGAGGAAGTTGTTCTAACGTCAATGTACATGCTTAAATCTGTACCAAAATTTACATGGACGATAACTGTCTCGCCCCGAACACATCTATATGCCAATATTCAGTAATATTGATAGCGACAAGTGATATGTAGCACTACAAATGGACATTTAACACCTTCGTGCTTTGTCTGAAGCGTGTGGCAAATTCACAGACCCGCCTCCGGCAGAGCTCCAGAATCTACAAAGCCTCACACCTCGATGCTTTATATGTGCGAGGGCCCGCCCAACACTGCTTGCAGCTTTAATTCACTGTTATATTCCTTAACTAATCATATGCTTTAAAAAATTTTTTACTTCATATGAGTTTTTGGTAATGTATCATCAAAAAAAAAAGTTTTCTACTTTAGTCACATAGTACTTATCACACTGCAGATGCATTTTTCAAAAATGTATCCTTGCTCATTGTCAAATTTCTATACAATAAGCCAGAAGAATCTAAGAAAACACAGATTTTAAATTGATACCTATATTTTTTCACACCATTCTGATGTACAGTAATTCCAGTAACTGACATGGATTGGATTAAAGATAATTTGTTGGTAGCAAGGAGAACATGATTAAATGTAATGAAAATATAATATTGTGACTTGAAACAATTCGAAGTACTCGTTTTACGACCATGGGGTTCAGAGCCTTCAGCTGCTCTTCCCCTCGTCTCTGGAACTCCCTTCCACCAGACATCCGCAACATTGACTCACTTTCCATTTTTAAATCCCACCTGAAAACACATCTTTTTAAACTGGCAAATCCCACGTGATCACTCTTTCTCAATCTTTGTTTCCAGTTGTTTTGTACCCTGATTTTATGCACTGTAATTATAGTTGTTAATTTTATCGATTATTGCTGTACTGTTTTATAATGTTTTGTGAGGTGACCTTGAGTGTTCAGAAAGGCAACTATAAATAAAATGTATTATTATTATTATTAAAATAATAAGTAAAGTAAAAATAATTAAAAAGCTCAGTTGAGCTCAGTCATTGACAGCAGGGCTCCAAAAAACAGCTGGCACAGACAACATATCAAGAAGATGCTTAAATGATTGGACAGATGTGTGCTGAATTTGTTTTATTCAACTCCAAAACAGAAACTAATTGGCATTTTTTGAAAGATCCTGATTCACACAATATCCTGAAACTTAGGACGCAAGACCATTAAAATTATATAAAAAAGTAGCCACAATGTAGGCTATTTTACAACATAAACACAACAAATTACATCCCTCTCTGAGTTTCATTTCAGCGGAACACCGCTGTTTTCTGTAAAGTGTAATGTTATACTATAAAACACCCATGGAAAATGTATTATTATTAGATTATTTAGTAAGCTGTCAATGTCCTGATTGAAGAGAACAGTACAAATCATTTAAGCAGCAGCACTTTAGTAATTTAGCTGGAAAGTACAACAATGCCATCTGCTGTTTTGGTGGCAGTTGGACCATAAATGACACATGGCTTTATCTTGTAATGCTGCCAGGCAATGTTTTCTGTTAAGGGCAGCTGAAATGTATCAGGTAACCTAATCCAACAGAAGTAGATTAGCCTATAGTTGTAACTTCTGTTACTTTTTAAGTCGACAGTAATTTATTGTGTTGTACACTTATAGGCCTACACACACACAATACATAAACAATGTGCACCAAGGCAGTACACATACAAAGATGTTGCTTTAGTGACCTTCAGTACATTTTTGTAACTTTTTATATACTACTTGGAGTGAAGTCATGTGATGGTCTGATGCAAAACATGCCATGTAACTTTTGATTCTTCCATAAATCAACAAATCTTTTTGAGTTTCACTGATTAGTGTGCTTTAATCTATGTTTTATTGTGCCTTAGGGCCTATACAATAAGCATTCCCACTAGCGCAAAAAAGAAACTATTCTTTCATGCCAGTTGAGAAGCAATATGACGGTACGAAAACATCATAGCTAAGAAATGTAGGCTACTGTAGCAAATAACGCGTCTGACTGCAGTCGTTGGTATTGCACGAGAGCTCAACCACCCACGACAAAACCACATTTTTAAAGTGGTATTCTAGACAGGATGTGTGAATTCAATACATTGCATTGCACCTCAATGAATACCCTTTCTATGCGACAGGCCCGTAAAAAGAGTCCGTTGATGCAAGAGTACGCTTTACACCCGGCCTTATGTCATGGTTGCAAGGACTTTAAATGCTTCAGCATGTTTACTACGCGTCCATTGGTCCACCCTGCTCCAACTCTGGTCCAATCACATCACAAAGGGGGGAGAAGCGTGCGCCCCACCTTGTTTCGGTCACGTGACGTGAGCTTACGAAGATGGTGGAAGTTTCTTCTTCCTTGAAGTGAAGCCCGGACTGAAACCTAAACATCTTCCAGACAGAAGGCTAGGAATTCACCGCAGCGTCACTAGTTTGGTTTTACAGCATTTATTCGGATTTGTGTAAGTGATAGAAGCCAATTCCTACATCTCTCACCGGTGGCATTTGTGTTTTTTCAATAGCCGTTGGACTTTGGGATTTCCAGCCAGCCATGATGTTGACACGAGCAAGCTAGTCGGCTCGCAGTTAGCCAGCGGGGATGGCAGGAGGCTGTCAAAACTGGTGGCCAGCTGACATTCAACACGTACTCAGCAACTCCTGTGACCACCCTGCCACTGTAAACATACATAGTGTTTAGCGTCAGTGAGTTAGAGTTTATTAGCTAACCAGGACATAACGTTACTGTTCCTCATTGTACGGCTAACTGCTTTTGCGTTAACGTTAGCACGTTATCAGTTCCTAGTTAGATTAAAATATGTAATCTTGACAACATTTGTTAATAATTGTCAGTGATTAATGCACACGCCGACTAGCACTGTTGTAATAAATAGATTATAGTTGTTTTTCCTTAGTTACGTGTTCTCGTAGGGACAGAACACATCTGGTAATGTTTCCGCGATTTTCGCTAAAATGAAGTGCTTTGTAGAACACAAACTACGAGACTTGTAGAAAACACAGGGAGCCACTCCTCAATACGACCTAATACAGTAATAACTGAAACCATATTTTGGTTCTAGCTGTTCTGGCCGCATACTTTTATTTCTTTGGATACTTTTAGGGATGTTGGAGAAGTAGATCAGCAAAGAGGGAAAGAGACAATGCTTTTTTTGTTACAGTTGTTAGTCATCTGTAACTTGGCAAGACTGGTTGTGTTAGTTTGTGTCCTGGCCTGCCAGTATTTTCCTCTACAGGCAGTATCAAATGTTTGTTTACTGAACAGGGAGGTTTTCCTCTCTGTTTTCCTGGGTTGCCCTCATGTTAGGGGAAATATTTTGACTATCAGTCATCAATCACAATATCTACATGATCTCCTGACTTTAATGATCTAGTTTATGATTACATTGTACTTTAATTAATTCATTACGTATGCCATTGTGGTGTATTCAAAACAAAAAAAACACTCATGAATTACCTGAATGGTTTTACATTTTGGATATTTAAGAAGTAGCAGACTCTGGACAGTGATGGATATGAAAGGGACACAGAGCTCATGTTGTTTCCTTGAAGCGTCTTAAAAGATGAACCTGTTATAATCCTACTAAGTTCGTCATCATGAAGGTATGTCGGCAATATGCACCATTGTTTGGTATGCTTATTCATGGTGTTCACTAACAGTCTAGATAATATATGTTTAGCTTATAGATGATGAGATTTCCAAAAGTTGCAGTGACTCTGCTGGTCTTTAGACAGGTTCAGGTGATATTGTTCGAAGTGGGCTGTTCAGGTGCACAACGCCCTATAAGATCATAAACTCAGAGCTCTGCTGCCAAGGAAATGGCACAATTTGAATTTAAAATGCCTCACAGAATCATGTAACACAATTTACTGGCCTGTGGACAATTTTATTCAGCTGGTTAAAAATCAGAGTCAAGCAGGTCATTGTAGAGTTTAATAAGGGTGGTGATGGCGCAGTGAATGAGACGCATGCCTTTGGTGTGAGAGACACGAGTTCAATTCCCCACTTTGACACACCCACCCATGTGTCCCTGAGCAAGACACTTAGTTGTCCAGAGGTGTGTGACCTTTGACACATATAGCTTTAGAAAATCAGCTAACATGTATGTAATGTAATGTCATTGTAATTCAGACACTATCCTCATCAACAAAATGCAGTTGGTCTGCTCTTAATGCTGCAAAGTCAGCAGTTGCACTGAATTATTGACAGAGAATAACAGTAGCCAAAAGGAAATTTTACCCAGGAGCCCCTCCTTTCCTCTGCTCTGGCATGTGCTTACTGGAAGAGATAGACTGAGGAACATTCATTATTCAGTAATGCATGAAGGAAAGATCACAGGACCTGAATCCTGTACCTGTGTTAACCTTTTTTTGTCTTTGATTGACACGTTTGTCAGTGGTGCAGCTTAATTGGCACTGGATTTTTAGACTCGTATCTATTGACATGCTATTTTACTGTCACACAAACATTATATGACTGTTTTTTACTTCTTTTAATGGGCAAATTATCCACAAAACCAATTAATATGTTTTCAGTGTTTCTTGTAATGATATTTCCATTACAGCTACAGTAGATTTTGTGAAGTGATCTCTGACTGTAAGCATAAATCAGGCGTTGGTGTCAGTTCCTTAGGGCTTCTTTCTGGCATTGTTAGTTTACAAAAATATTTCTAAAATTGTTCCGAGGACACACCACCACAGAAGAGGCTAAGATACAAATTTCAATATAAGTTTCATCTTTAGTATAGCCTAGTTGTTAGGATACTTTTGTCGCAGCATTTCACAAGTGCGTCTTTTGATTTCCTTACTTTCCATGATGGTGCAGCCTCTGTGTGTTTCACGTGACAATTGGACAGGTAGCTCTAACAGAGTGGCAAGCTTGTTTTATTCGTCAGTCTGTCCTCTTCAGATGTCGACAGTTGATGATGTTTTAGTGTTAAGAATAGATTCCAGCTAGGGGAGAAAATTTATAAATGTAGACTCTCTATTAAAACTGATGCTTCAGATGATTCATATAACATAAAAAAACATTCATTTTTCATATGCTTATATCCAAAGCAACTTACACTAAGTGCATTTGACCTTCAAAGTTACAAGGGCAAGATGTCATCAGAAATGCAGATCTGCAAATGCAGTGTATTACAAATGATTTGTTTTATGCCTCTTATTGTCAGCCTCTAGTGACTAACTGATTATGAATTCAGTATCGCGTCTGAATGTTGAACCATACTTGATTTTAATGCTTAATGGAAAATTGTTATTAGAATAAATAAAGTGGAAACTTAATTGTGCTTAAAACTGTGTGGTTGGTAATACATATGGTCCTTAATTATTGAGGTAGGGTTGTACTTGTTAATAGTTAGAAGTGAAACCACTTAGGCACCATCACAACCCTAATGATTGTCTGTGCTGCAGGCCCAGCCCTATGTCATGGCCAGTGGAGTCACCAAGTTGGGCAGCTCCAACGGTTACCCTATGAAGGCACAGCTACAAATCATTGGTAAGTCATCAGTCTTTATTAAAATTAACAGAGGTTAAGTCAAATAAATGTTGGTTATTTTGTCTGTCATACATTTATATTTTTGGTGTAATTATTTTCTTGTTTTACATTCAACATTAGGTTACTTCTGTTCAAAAGTAATAATAATGGGCCATTTTTAAGCAAAACAAGGAAAAGCACAGGTGCAAATAATAAAATGAAAGAAATTCTGTTGATTTCTGTTTAGCTGCTTCAGCTTCAGCGACCTGATATTGTGCATGCTGGCTCAGTATCACACTGTCATGGCTTACTGGGACACACAAATAGAACTGAGCCGTCATTATTGTTACTACACCTGTCGTTTTCCTGCCATGACACATCACAATGTCTGCTCTGATAAATACCACTTGTGAGGACTCCACTGCTGCTGCCTCGCCAGCTAAATACATTTTGCACTGTTTTTGTGGTGATCCAGATTTTATAGCATGTCATGTTCCTCTGCTTTGCCTTTCATTTAAAAATGTGTGCAATCTACAGTATTTCCCTGTTCTTGAATGATTTTTTTCCCTTGCCTCTTTCTTTCTGCACCAACATGACTGACTGTCTGCTGCATGTTTCCTGTTTCAGTGTTATCAGCAAAACTAAAAGAGAACAAGAAAAACTGGTTTGGTCCCAGTCCTTATGTGGAAGTGACCGTCGACGGCCAGTCCAAGAAAACAGAGAAATGCAACAACACCCACAGTCCCAAATGGAAGCAGCCACTCACTGTGTGAGTCAGTCTTGCTGGAATTAACAGACCCATATGACATTTGATCACATTTATGATAATTGGGACTTAACTATTTTATGTCTTTGTTTATATTTGCTATGTAGCTTTTGCTACTGATAAAAAACAAATTATATTCCAGTCAGATCTGTGTCAAATTGTATTTAAAATTAAAATGTTTGATCTGTTGTGTTGCCTGCATGCAGGCACCCTAATGTGTTAAATGTTACCAGCCTGGTATTTCAGGCAGCTCAGAAAAACTGTAACTGTAATTTACAAGAGTTTCTGTGTGCACATAATGAAGTTTAAGTACCTCCAAGTGTTTGAAAGGCCCTTCAGCACTTGGAACGTTCTGTGACAATCCTGGCGTAGCTCATGTTGAATTACATCGTCGAGTTCTACTGAAATGTACAAATGCGTTGTTGATCGTATTGGTGTAATGGGCCACCTTGAGCTTGCAAATATTCCCCTGATTTTGAATGATGGGATTAATGAAACAAGTTTAGTTTTTTGCAGTTTGGCTGTGAGGAAGAAGCATATCTTGAAAAATCAATGCTGACTGTAGTAATCATAATTTCCCCACAAAACTGTCCAGACCTTGAGGGGTTTCTCCAAAGCATACTAAAATAGACCTCCTTATAATCATGTAAAATTGATTTATTGGTGGCACCTGCCACAGTATCACCGCTGACTGCCACATATTGATTTTCAGTTGTTTTTTTAACTATTTAAAATGGGTAAACTCGATCCCTCAATAAATGCAGAAGTGTCCGCCATAATGCGGCATTCATTCAGGTGTGCGGTATAATTCCACAACTATGTGTGCTTTCGCATAGCGATCCGGCTTTCTGGAACCAGCAGCGTAGAAAAAGACCCGTACCTGTAATACAACACCACCATGCTGGCTGTGGTACCGGCTCAGAGACGGATGAAATCGGACCCCCCTTTGAGCTCTGTAACTTTTTTATACAGCGCAGCGGCATATTGGCCCCCTCCTCTTCGTTCACGATCTCAATGAAAACATGATCATGCACTGAATCAAGAGTTGAATAGTTAGTATCATGAACACAAATGCACACATTTATACAAGAATAATAGGACAGGTTAAAATAAGTTAACTCTGATATGTTAGCCTCTCTATATTCTTTCATCCGAGACCCACCTTCAAATAAGTTCATAGCAAGCACGGAGCCTAGCTTATAAGGATAGCTATGTTAACATTATAATACAGCTGGGTTGTGGAGGTGAGCACGCTGTACTTAGCTAGTAGCCAATATCGACTGCCCCCCTCCCCCCAATGCCACATTCTATGGGAAACACTGTCCACTCTTTATCACAATGTCTTGCCTGCAACTTTCTTTCTGAATGAGTCACCAGGTCTTGTTTTTCGGGAAGGATTTTGTCTGTCATGTAACTCTTGACTTCAGGAGAATGGTATTTGTACATTTTATAGAAAAGATATGCTATCTCCAAGTGGTTTGTACTTGAAAGAATAAGTCCACACAGAGGTGAGAGTAGGTCCTATTCATTTACAGGAATCCTGGTTTTTAAACGCATATTGTACATTTATTGCACCCCACTTCCTGCAGTCCAACATATTCACACTTCAGATGTCCTCTTAATTTTAGCCTCTCCAGGATCTTCTGCTGTGCACAGGAACTTTCTTAATATAGAGTTCTCCTAAAGTTTCTTTTGGTCACATCCAAGTAGAGTCATTAAATGCAACAAGTGTTTACTATTAGATGTAATCAGACCCGAGCCCATGTGCCCACAAATGTTTTTTTCCTGGGGGCGCTGAGGTTGCTAGCTAAACAACTGTCATAGTGATGGTTATAGACACTCATTGTCCCTGAATAGCTTCTGAACTTTATTGTCTGGGGGTTGCTTTCGAAACAAGACAAAGGTTTTGCTGCTTGCACAAAAAAGGTTACTGAGTTTGAAACTTTGCTTGATGAAATGCGGGTGAAATCCTTATAGTAAGATCTTGGAGGGCTTTCCCAAGTCAGATCAAGGCACCGCTCTTTTTGTCATCCAAAAGTATCAGTGGATTGCACATATTAACTGAATGGTTTGTTTCAACAGGATTGTGACTCCATTCAGCAAATTGGTGTTTCGTGTGTGGAGCCACCAGACCCTCAAGTCAGACGTGTTGCTAGGCATGGCCACACTGGATGTCAGTGATACTCTCAAGTCTAATGACATGAAAAGTGAGTGAATGACACGCACCCACACTCAGCTCTTCTACGTATAGTTTTTTCCTCTCTAGCCCACTTCGTATTATTGATTTTAATGCTTCTTTCACAACAATATGAGCAAACTCCCTCAGGATATCGCGTGTGTGCATCTGTGTTGGGGCCATTCATCGATCATTCATTATTCCATTACTTTTCCTGATGATTCAGATTTTTGCCACAGTGTCATTTTAGTATCGGTATCGAGATATTTAGGCAGGTATGGTATTGAAGTCATAATTTTGGTATCGTGACAACACTAGTAGTCACTTAAAAAAAATCTAATTTCTTAATGTTTCTTCATCGCCTCCATGTTAAAAGTAATTTCTGTACTGCTGCTGTCAAGATAACATGGCGTTACACCATGCGTCCATCTAATAGTCGTTTTATATTTTCTCTTTACTGTAACGGCCACATATGAGAGAGAAGATGGCTTAAACTAAGTTAACAGTCTGTTGTTACAGTCTCTAAATTGTGTGTTTTTTTGTTTTTTTTTGTTTTTGCCCCACACTGATTCTCCAGTTCAGGGAAAGGGTTGACATACAGTGTTTAAATCAATCTGTGTCACAGCAATCCTTTTGAATTTGAGGTCCAGTATTTTTTGATCCAGCATCTGACAAATGGGGTCTGTAATTATCATTAATATTATAACACAGCAGTGATGTGGAAATTAGAATAATTTTGAGATATGCTACTATGATCATTATTCTGATGTGATTCAGGTGTTACTTTTTCAGGATGATTGAATAATTCTATATAATAAATATAGAAATATTAATGAGACATGTTTTTAATATTAATTTTAGATAAATTAATTGTTATATTAATCGAGTACTAGGTCTATAGCTATTAAATTAAATTAAATTTTATTTATATAGCGCCAACAGTTCCCACCAAGAGCAGCACTAGGCGACAGAGGCAAGGAAAAACTTCCTTTTAAGAGGCAGAAACCTCAAGCAGAACCATGGCTCAGGGTGGGCGGCCATCTGCCTCGACCGGTTGGGGGTGAAGGAGAGAGAGAGAGAGAGAGAGAGGGAGAGGGCAAGAGAGGAACAGAGAGAAAAGGAGAGGGATGGAAGGACAGAGAGGGGAGGGAGGCAGCCTACACAATAAACACACAGAGGTACAGACAGTAAAGGTGATGTTGCTATAGACTAAATGAAAAATGGTACAGATATTTATAGTACTGATAATGATAACAATCGTAATGTTAATGATTATAATAACAATAGGACTAGTAACAATAGTTGTTGTAGCAGAGGGTGTCGAGCAGGAACACGGGGGCAACAGGTGACCCGCAGCCACAGATCCAGACTCCACAGCTCCAGAGCCAGAAAACCTGCAGGAAGTGATAGGAGGAGAGAGGAGAGGGACGAGAAAGCACAAGACTACCGGAAAGGGGAGAAGTTGTGTTGGTAACATGCAATAATAGGATGAGGTTGCATACAGAGGGAGAGAAAATAGAGGAGAGAGGAGCTCAGTGCATCATGGGAAATCCCCCGGGCAGTCTAGGCCTATAGCAGCATAACTAAGGGATGGTTCAGGACTACCTGAGCCAGCCCTAACTATAAGCTTTATCAAAGAGGAAAGTCTTAAGCCTAGTCTTAAATGTGGAGATGGTGTCTGCCTCCTGAACCCAAACTGGAACCTGGTTCCACAGGAGAGGAGCTTGATAGCTGAACACTCTGGCTCCCATTCTCTAGGAACCACAAGTAACCCTGCATTCTGTGAGCGCAGTGCTCTGGTGGGGTAGTAAGGTACTATGAGCTCTTTAAGATAAGATGGTGCCTGATCATTAAGAGCTTTGTAGGTAAGAAGAATGATTTTAAATTCTATTCTGGATTTTACTGGAAGCCAATGCAGAGAAGCTAAGACAGGAGAAATATGGTCTCTTTTCCTGGTTCCTGTCAGAACACGTGCTGCAGCATTCTGGATCAGCTGAAGAGTCTTAATGGACGTTTTCGAGCAGCCTGATAATAAGGAATTGCAGTAATCCAGCCTAGAAGTAACAAATGCATGGACTAGTTTTTCTGCATCATTTTTAGACAGGATGTTCCTGATTTTCGCAATATTACATAGGTGAAAAAAGGCGGTCCTTGAAATTTGCTTAATGTGAGACTTAAACGACGATTCCTCACAGTGGTGCTGGAGGCCAGGGCGATGCCATCAAGGGAAACTATATCTTTAGATAATACGTCACGGAGGTGCTTAGGCCCCAGTTTTATCTGAGTATCATCTGCATAACAATGAAAGTTTATGGAATATTTCCTGATAATATTGCCTAAAGTAAGCATATATAAAGTGAAGTGGATTGGTCTGAGGACAGATCCTTGTGGAACTCCATGACTAACTTTGGCATGCATGGAGGACTCGTCGTTAACATGTACAAACTGAAGTCGATCTGATAAATAGGACTTAAACCAGCTTAGAGCGGTTCCCTTAATGCTAATGAAATGTTCCAGTCTCTGCAATAGGATTTGATGGTCAATGGTATCAAATGCAGCACTAAGATCTAATAAAACCAGTACAGAGACAAGTCCTTTGTCTGATGCAATAAGGAGGTCATTAGTAATTTTCACCAGTGCTGTCTCTGTGCTATGATGAGCTCTAAATCCTGACTGAAAATCCTCAAATAAACTATTGCTCTGTAGAAAGTCACACAGCTGTTTAGCAACTGCTTTCTCCAGAACCTTAGAGAGAAATGGAAGGTTAGATATATTGACTGCAGAAAGTTGGCGACTTCTGCACACGGTGCGCCTCAGCATGAGCTGACCCCACTCTTTGATTTTATATGGCCTACCACTTCATGGCTGAATATTTAGTAGAGAGGAAATTTCACGAATGCACAGGTGGCAACCTATCACGGTACCACGCTTGAATTCACTGAGCTCCTAAGAGCGATCCATTCTTTCAGAAATGTTTGTAGAAGCAGTCTGCACACCTGGGTGTTTGATTTTATACACCTGTTGCCATGGAAGTGATTGGAACACCTGAATGCAATGATTCAAAGGGGTGTCCTAAAACTTATATACTTAAATATAGTGTATGTCACGGTAATATGATAATAATAAGAATGATAAAAATAATAATAAAAACATTATTATTGCAGACATATATTACATATATAAATTCAAATTAGCTTTATTGGCATGAATGTGTAACAACAATATTGCCAAAGCATCATACAAACCACTATATAGATATATATAACTACACACACACACATTTTAGTGTACCAACTGAGAAGTCACACTCAAAAATGCCTCCAACATCAAACATTATAGACATGTAACATTTCTCTATAATGTTTGACTAAAACGATTCCTTGATAGGTGACATCACCATTGTCATCTCCTCTCCTTCCAAAGTCATCTACTATTATTGGCACAAATATCAAAACATTTTACTATACTTGAAGAAATCACACTCTTACAATTCCTTCAACAGTGAAAATTAATTAACAGTTAAAATTTTGACTGAACTTTGACCTTTGAAGTAACGGAGCCTGAACATGTCTGGAGAAAGGCCACAGCGAGCATGATGGTGTTTACATGTTTATTGCGGGATCTTCGTTTGAAATCGTTTGTGTTTTGGATTATGCTCGGTGATGAGTTAAAGCCTATGGTTCAAGCACACGTACGAGCACACACCTGGTTGCAGTCTTAAAATCACATTTGTCGCTGATAACTACATATTGCCACTTTAAGGCATGTACTTCAAGTGAAGAATGACCAACTCATCGGTAACACAGCCACTCTCCGTTCCTGTTTCTGCATGCTCCGGTAGGCTCCGGTCAGCTGATCATTTTGTTTTGTGGTGCCCAATGTTATCAACACAGCAGTTACAGAGCGCCCACTGGAGGCAAACTGTGCAACACTCATGACATGAGTGAAGGATTAAACTCTCCATTTTTTTTTTAATAGCCATAAATCACCTGTTATAAACACAGATACGATTATTCTGCAATTAGCTCATATCAGCCGACATCTGCAGAACAATAAATCGGTCGGGCTGTATTTTGAACTGCTACTGTAAATTGCTGGTTTGACATTTAAAGGGACAGTGTTCCTTGTCACTGATAGGTTCAAGGTATGCCTGCATCAATAATAGCAGACTAAATATTTCAGTTGTCATTGAATTACTCTGACTGTTACCATCTTGTGTTTTTGTTGTCTCATTGTAGTCTCTGAGGTGGTGCAGACCCTACAGCTGTGTACAGACAGAGACCAGTCAGATGTGGTGGGAGACCTGTCGGTCTGCCTAGACGGCATGACTGTCGAGCCCGAAATGTTTGCCGCAGCCGAGGCTGACCATCACAGTGAGTTTTTCATTTCAACTGTAAAAAATACACTGGATACAGTTATTTGACTGCACTTATGTAGTTAGTTAGTTCATCCTGTCAGTATCATGTCTTAGTTGCTTGTAGTTGAAGGATGTGGGACAGTAAAGAAAAACCTTTGTATTTACATCAAAAGGGTTAAGTATAGTAACATTAGATAGACTTTTTGTTTGGTTGACTGGTTTTGTTGTGTGAACAGGTTATATGCTTAGTTTATGTTGTGTTTTTTCCTCAGTTACATCAAATGGGGATTCACAACCAAATGGGGATCATGCCATAAGGTACAATATCTATTCCCATTCTCAGTTAAGTTTAACTCCTGTCACAGTTCTAGTTTCTGCTCTATTTATCTCCGTTGAACCTCCCTCCTCACAGCCGGAGTCGAGACAGCTCTCCAGCGGTGGACGGTGTAGAGCACAGGTCTTCTCCCAGTGTTCAGAGGTCAGCGAACAGCACAGGGTCTCCCTCAGTGTCAGGGGGTTCAAGGCCTGTCCGACCACCCAGGCCCTCAAGACCTCCTCCTCCAACCCCCCGCAGACCCACCTCTTCACCAGGTCAGACTGAAGGATGGTCCTCTTCTAATCTGCTCTAGACACTTTTCAACTCCCAAGAACAGGAGGGGCTTTTCTTCCTACACTGAATGTGTACTCTGTCACAATCCAAGCAATGTAAAACATTTACCCTAAGGCTAAATTAGGTGTTGGGCCAACACTTGACTCATACACACATTTTTGTACTACCAGTTTACTTTAAAATGAGCCGTATTTATACAAGGCAACACACAGATAATAGAAATGTGTCAGAGTTACATCTGTGAAGAGAAGAATTGGTTTTTCCAACTCAAGCTGCAAAGCCAGCCCGCATTGATAAACTCCAGGATTGCTGTCCTGGTCTGAGGATCTATGATTTAACTCATGTCTGGTTGTTTCCTCAGCATCTTCCAGCAACAGCTCTGCACCAGCTGATGGCAGTAACAGTCAGTCAGGTTCTGATACACCAGTGCGAACACCGGCCTCAGGGCCTTCATCAGCCCCAGACTCAAGTCCTTCGACAGGCTCAGACAGGAACTCCGCATCGGCCTCCAGCTCTGGTGCTGCAGCAACCAGACAGCCAACCAGCAGCATCACCCCATCTCTCCCTCCCAGGGTCCCCACTGTCAACGCTGGACCGTTGCCCCCAGGGTTAGCTCTCATTTTGTAATCGTTGCAGAAGCGCTGAGCGAGGTTTTGGTTATAGAATAATCAAAACAGTATTTTTGCAAGTTTAAAGTGTGACAAGTACTATTTGATCCCTCAAAGTCATGCTGAGCAGTTATAGTATTATGCCCAAGCCAAACATGAATTTATGTTTACTGATTTGTCTTTGTTCTGTTTCTTTGTCTCAAGTCATCATACAGGATACAAGCTACAAAACCACAAATGTCAGCAACAGAAAATTCAAGAAGAAAATTGATTTATCACTCAGATGACGATTAGATATTGGGTCACCTTTGAGCAAAAAGTTCCGTGATAACATATACTTTTGCCCAAAAGAAATACAGCAAAGTTTAGTGAGCATTTATTCATTTCTGAAGCCACATATGGATAAATGGAAGTGTTTGCACAAGGATGCGAGTCTGAGGACAAAAGGTGGAAGTGGGATTACTGGTTAGTCTGGTTTAGATTTTGCATCAAACCTTCACTGAAATGAAAGCTTGTGTACAGGCACAAGTTACAAATGTGAGATAGAGAAATGGTTTCAGAATTATAGCATATCATTATTAATAGAGAAGGATGCGATGTTACCATTTTGTATTTAGAAAACAACACAGGTCTGAACATTGATTACATCTGTGTTTGTCCCTACGGCATTTTACATTTTAACCGTGGTCATGACTAACACTACGTTATCATTGCAGTCTATTTCTTGTTGTCTGTCTCTTTGATTTAATTTAGACTTTAATATCTTAAATACCCCTTTTGAGCTGTTTTTAATGTTATCATTGTGATTGATAACATTGTGACTGTCACGGGTTAATTGTTGATTTTGTAGCTATAGCAGTTTAAAAACCATACATAATCTAAATTGCTTGAGCTGTGCATCCATACCTAATGTCCTCAAATGTATTTGTTATTTTATCTAGGTGGGAGCAGAGAGTGGATCAGAATGGCAGGTTGTATTTTGTCGATCACGTGGAAAAGAGAACAACGTGGGAACGCCCTGAACCCCTGCCCCCTGGGTAAAAAGTCCTTTACTTTTTATATATTTTCTTCTTGGATACAGATTGTGTTTTCCTTGATAGGTTATAGTATTCTAATCTATTTTTAGATCAAATAAGTCTCTTAAACAATATGGTTGCCAGATACTGGCTCAGTGTCCTATGCTATGTCCACCAACTTAAACCTTCTCATACAAATCATCTAACTAGCAGTTTTGTTAGTCACACATGTACAGAATTGTCATCAGAATTCAGAATTAATTAGTCAAGATGCTGGCAGAGCGACAGCATTGCATTTCATCCGTAACTACTAGGGGTGAGACACTTAACCCACGAGACAAGATTCGATATTGGGTTTACGAGATCGAGATAAGATGAGATTTTAACACAATTTTTGGGAAATCTTTAATGTATATTTTTATACAATATAATATTTAAAGAATTGTCACCTGCCACCTGAATTTTGTGTTATATATATCACCATAAACTTGTGCAGAAAAATTCCTCAGAATGCAGGAAATAAAGTTTTTAATGCTCAAGGTTTTAATATAATTTAAAGTTCCCATTACATAAATAAAAAAATCGTACTCTTCCTCCTCGTCCACCACCTCTTACACGATCTCTTCCTCCTCTGCCTCTCACATTGTTTCCATCTATTGTTGGTATCAACATTCAATGTAACTGGGCCACCCTGTGTACTCTGAACTGGCTTATATTCTAGACAACTGATTTGATCACATCATTAGAAACAAGTATGAACAATTTTGAGTTGTTGTGTGTAAACGACGACAACTGTGTTGTAGCTCAGTTTATTTATTCTCACAGCTAGGCTAACTAAGTGATTATTACCAAATCTTTGTTGTTGATTCAACAAATGGGTTTAGGCCACTGAGCATTGGGTTCAGAGAATGGGTTTTAGTGTTTTAGCAATTGTGAAATACTGTATTAACTCTTAAACAGTATTATTTTGAATAGATATAACATTGCCAGTGCCATGTCTTCTTCTTACATCAGTTTCAAAGATTGAAGAAAGAAGGAATGTAGATATTAAGAGAAGTGAAAGTTGTTGAGAAATATTGTGAGCCAGGTTCAGGTATGAAGAAGTTTCAGAGACAGATGAAGACTTAACATAGCATGGTTTATTGTGCCCGGCCGAGGAGATACAGTGCCAGCATACAACATGTGAACACGTCAAATGCCAACACCAAATCTGAAGGAGAACATCATTTGGTCCCTTTTATGTTTCTGTCTTCCCCCTTGTGCCTGTAGGTTTCAGCATTAGGTCACCTTTCTCCTAGAACAACTAATCTATCTGATGTTTAGACTCCAATGCTTCGTCATATTGGAATCTCTCACTATCCATGAGTTGTACTCTAATCTGTGGAGCCAGTGAGTTCTTGTAAACATTCTTGTAGGACTTAACCTTGTAAGATTCACAGAGAACACTGATATCTGCTAGCCTGACGCCTGAGCTGCTGTCTCTAACTAATCAGTCTATTGTTGTCTCCCTGACAAGGACAAGTACATGTGAGAAATACCTAAAACTATAACGTCATTTCCCCGTTACATCAATTAAGACACCTAAGAAATATTCTTAACAAAAGTGAGAGTAAAGAAAGAAGGGATGTAGAGACTAAGAAGTGAGAGTAAAGAAAGAAGGGATGTAGAGACTAAGAGAAGTGAGAGTAAAGAAGGAAGGGATGTAGAGACTAAGAGAAGTGAGAGTAAAGAAAGAAGGGATGTAGAGACTAAGAAGTGAAAGTGAGAGTAAAGAAAGAAGGGATGTAGAGACTAAGAAGTGAAAGTGAGAGTAAAGAAAGAAGGGATGTAGAGACTAAGAGAAGTGAGAGTAAAGAAAGAAGGGATGCAGACACTGAGAGAAGAGAGAGAAAATAATATAACATTTTAAAGGTTAAGTGTGTAAGATTTAGTGGCATCTAGTGTTACCCTTTCAAAGAGCGTAGTACAGCTATGGTGGCTGACACAGCACAAAAGGTATCATCTTCTCAAACATCAGAGAGTAGCCAGTCATGAAATGAGGTTTCTTTAGGTAGATATTTTAAGCAATAATATTTACTTAATTATATTGTAAAATCATATGTTATTGTGACTTGGCCACTGACAGATAAGTAGTTTTGCCTACAAAATAAAAGCGCAAGAAGCTTGTGTACTGTAATGCAGTAGTTGGAGTTGAAGTGAGCTTTTACTTTAAAAAGTTCTGAACGACATTAAAAGAGTCTGTTGCCTGCTTGACACACCTCTGGGAGAGCCATCAGAAAACGTGATTCCCCTAAATGTCCTCTGCCTGGAGATACTGGGGAAATGAAAAAGTGGAAGTAGGTTGATGCTTAAACAGCGAAACACACACACTGCAGCACATCCCGTAATGTGAACATGAGAAATGCAGCATAATTAATTTGTTGAAGAGAGAGAAAAAATGTCCCTAGGTGGGATCGAACATGCAACCTTCAGATTCCTGCGCTTTACCGACGGAGCTAACCCAACAACATGGGAATTAGATCTAATATTACGTCTTATTTTCTCACTCACAATCTAATGGTTGCAAAACGTATTTGCAGACTCCTGCTGTATATTATTACTTCTTCAAACGTACGTATTCAACACAGTAATTATTGTCTGCATTGCCTGAATTCTACCAGAAGTAGGACAAGAAGAACGTAGTGACGAAATGCGCTCTGTATTGCTTTTTGTCTGTTTTCAGCTACTGTAGAAACATGACGGAGCAACATGGCGACGTCATGTAAGGGGGGGACCTGCAGTTATGTTGATATAAATGGCTCAAGTGGTCTTTATACACCACTGAAAACATAGTTATGGATCTTGTATTGCATTTCTGTCAATAGATCCTCAGAAATATTACACACTGGACCTTTAAGTATGATTCCTTTTATAAATGGCATATTATAATATTTACATAGCATTTACAGTCATGTGTTGTTTTCTATCTTGCCATCATCCACTCAGCACTCCTGACCTTCACCACAAACTGCTCTGATACAATACATGTTTAGTATGAAGATTGCTTTTATAATATGTTAGTGTACTCCTTTTAGTGTTAGGGGTAAATTTCTATTTATTTCTCAAAATTGAAACCTGTTTAACCTTTCCTTTTAACCTTGCCGGTTTCAATCTCTCTTCTGTCCCTTGTATTCCAAAATGGATATTCATACAAGCTCCACTAATACAATTAACTAAAATCATAATTATCATAATTTGTACGTTAATTTGTTAACCGTTAATGTCATTAAATCTTCTAATTTAGTGGGGGAATCCACTAATATGCTTTAATGCACATGTTTGAATCAGTTGTGCCAGTAATATATAATCTCATTCGTTACACGTCTTACATTTTTAAATGTGCATCCCAAATAGCATTTGCTGCTAACTTCCGGTAACTATTGAGACGCTCCTTGATCCGCCATTGCTGTGAAAAAATGGTCCATTGGCGTGAACAGAGATGATGTGACTCTCTCTCTAAAGGGCTCTGCTAGTAACTAACTATGCAGCTTTGACCATAAGTAGGTTCCCGTTTGTATTTAGTGCTCTATGCATGAGTATAAGAATGCATGTGTATGAGGGTGATTGTTTCATGCTACATTTGGTGTCAGTAACATGCTAAGAAATCTGGCAATGTGCCAGTGTAAGGCTGGGAAGAAGACTGCTAGCTAGTAAACATGGTGGTGAACAATGTAAAAAAAATATTCAAGCGTTTTACACTTTTGTCAAGCCTCAAGGATACCCACAAAGCTTTTGGTGAATAACGTTGAATGCGAATGTAATGGTTTATATACTAGAAAACTACACAGAACCTTTAAATACCTTAACATGATTGGTGGATTTAGTTTGTCTTTGATGGCAGGCTTCTGTATTGCCAACATTACAACATTATCGTTTTCCCAATGTGAAAAATCTTGGTGTAACCGTGGCCTTAGTGTAGATTGTGCTTCAATATGAAGATGGACCTTAACTATTTTCACAGGCAGTTCGTCAGTGTTCCTTAGTGCTGTTTATCCTGTAAGGCAGAGTCTTCAAAGTCTACGTAGTAGTGCGGTGTAAACCCTACAGACTTTGTTAACATTAATAGTCACATCACCAAGGCCTCTGTATTTTTCTTTCTGAACTTTGGACTATCTCATATGTAATTTGTTAAGCGCAGCATGCAGCTAGACACTGTGCCCTGTTCACCTACCACATTGATAATTAACTCTATTCTTGAGCTGTGATGCATTTATTTACCCACGCTTCTCTAACATGCTTGCTCTTTTTCCTTCCACTTTCTAAGTAGTTATTGACATGGCTGGTTTTCAAACATAGTTTTACCAACTTGTATACTAAATGCAGTAACAATCTGTAGTTAAAATCATTGTGATGGATGGATTGTATTAAGTATTGCCTAATAATAACTTTGTGATGCTTGATACATTTTTTGACACTCTACCTGTAATCCCTCAATTTCTTCCTCCCATTGTCTTCCCACATCTCATTTGTCTGTAGCTGGGAGCGTCGTGTCGACCAGATGGGGCGGGTCTACTTTGTTGATCACATCACTCGAACCACCACATGGCAGCGCCCCACAGTGGAGACAGTGCGTAACTATGAGCAGTGGCAGCACCAACGCAGCCAGCTACAGGGCGCCATGCAGCAGTTCAATCAGAGGTTTATTTTCGGGGTGAGACTTCCTATTTATAATGTGATACTGTGTGGTGATTTGGGCGTTAATAAACTGGAATACTGTAGGGTCACTCTTATTTCATGTACCTGCCTTCTGGTTGTCCTGTGTTTGATGAAAGAGAAATGTGTCACCTCCATGACTTTAAGAGATTGAGTATTTGAAAACAATTGTTGTGAAAAGTAAGTTATGCAAGCTAGAAATCTTTGCCTAATGCTGATACTTTCATACATTACAGGTATCAATACACACTGTAAAAGCGATGTTGATGGGAAAGTTATAGTTCAGTTAAAATAATTACATAGTATGCAATAACATGTTCATGTTTGTGACATTGCTTTTCATAAAACCAGCTGGCTAAAATATATAACTTCGGTTGAAGCTGATATTTGTCTTTATCTGACTCCATTTGTTGGTGCTTCAAAGCACAAATGCAGACACTGACGTACATTGTCCTTTAGGTGCTTTTTGAATCATATAAATTATTCTGATTGTCTGTTGTGTAGCTACAAGATCAGGTTTCAGCCACTCAGAATAAGGAATTTGATCCTCTTGGGCCTCTGCCACATGGATGGGGTAAGATCTTTAAGGCTTTTCAATTTAAATACAGTCTTTTGAGACGCCTGTGTCAACCTGTGACAGTAATTATTCATTTATAGATGAGAATTTTATTTTCAGTGTACTAGTGTGTGTTAAACGTACTTTACATAACTTCCTTAAGAACTTAATCAAGAAATTTGTTGTTTAGGATAAGTAACTTTCAACACCTCAACTCAAGAGTTACACAACTGAATTCCTTTTAGACACTTAGCCATTTCTCTACAGGGATTCCACCCATCCCCACACATTTAAATGAAGGTGTCATGTCATGTACAAGACTTCTAATCAGGTTAAAAGGACTTTTAAATTTGATGTGGGATCCCTTAATTGCCACTTCTGCAAGTTGAATAATCAACTGTTATTGTTTCTTTTCAGAGAAGAGAACAGACACGAATGGGAGAGTTTATTTTGTACATCACCCAACGCGGGCAACACAGTGGGAAGACCCACGAACACAGGGGTTAGTTTGTGTGTGTGCATCCCAAATAGCCACTGCCGTCATCACATAAACTGCATGCCAGATGAAAATGTAAATGCTGTGTCTTTCGGTTCTCATGAAAGAATCTATGATTAAATTTTGATCTTGTCTCTTTTTAGGTTGATGAATGATAAGCCACTTCCAGAGGGTTGGGAGATGAGGTTCACTGTAGATGGTATTCCCTACTTTGTAGACCACAACAGGAGAACGACCACCTACATTGACCCTCGCACTGGAAAATCTTCACTGTATGTCCTCCACCATTGTGTTTTTTTTTTTACTTCCTCAAAATCTTTAGACTCACATAACAGTATCACTTTGTGACTTATATAAGTATCAATTAATTTGTGGTCCATAAAGGGCAGATAGAAAATCAACAACTTTCTAGCCCAGCTTCAAACTACTGCTCTTGGAATTATCAGACGCAAGCAAGCTAGCTTACTAGAACAGATACTCAACTTCTAATGAAGAGGCAGTGTATTACCATATCAAATACTGGAATTGTAATACTGTCAATTGAAATCGAGTCAATGTTTTAGTGACAATTGAACATACAAAGGTTTTCAAAATGTGTGAGGAATGGACACGGTAATGCTAAATAAAATGAATAAAATAAAATAATAACAAAACAAGGCCTAACTAAGCTAAACAAAAAGCTTCTTATTGTAGTGGACCTAAATTTATTAGTTATGCATTTTAATAAATTTATGAGAATTGATACCCAATTATGAATTAAAATTCATAATTTCCTCGTTAAGGGCACCACCGGAGTTGTTATAATCCTAGAGTCTCCGGACCTCTAGGTAGTTTTGAATAATTATACAATTATTACTAGTGATCAGTTAGTTAATAATCGCTCAATTATCTTAAATCAGTCAGTCAGTCTCATATCTAAAGGGTCAATTCTCTTGGCAGGAACTATAAATAGGCAACACACACAGCTCTTGATTATATTACAGTGAATTTATTCTCTAACTAAGGTGATAAAAAGATGGTTGGATACAGGGAACAAACATTTGCGGAACAATGAGCCTGGAGGTTCGATTGTGGGAAGCATTTGACTCATACGGCATAGAAGAACTAATGAGAGTAAATTAATGCTGTAATTTAGGAGTTAAGATGGACATCTGATCACAGGACGTGTGTTAAGTCTTACTGCTTGTCGACAGCCTGCTTTTGGCCTGTTGCACGGGTCCCACTCTAGCTGCCGATCCTGGCTTTTTGCTAGGGATTCTCCAGGGTTCTCCGTGTCTGATTGAAAACGCCTCCTCCGTCTGGCAATTCGGCTGTTTTCAGGTTTCCTTCGTTGTAGCTGGCGAGACCACGTGGCTTGGTCTGACCTCGGTGAAGTTGGCTTCGACGAAAAAGGCTTAAAATGGAACTTGGTCATTCCTGAATTAGTCCAGTGTAACTTAACGGACTCATAAATTTAACAAACAAAAGAAATAAAGAAAATAAAACAAACTGAAGGCAGATCGATGTCGCGGCACTTCAGGTGTGTAGCTTCAGGCGAACAAAGGCCTGTTTGTTTCGCTGGCCGAGTCTGGGCGTTGCTTGGCGAGGCACGCTGCGCTTGCCGAAGCATCCAGAGGGCAGAGCAGAGTGGCAGAGCCAACAGCGAAGCGAAGAGAAGAGAAGAGAGAGCGCGAGCAGGTCGCGTGTCGCTCTTTTGTTGCCTGGGGCGTGGTTCCCCAGGAGGCGTCTCAGGTTTCCCCAGGGACTGCCTTTCTAAACTTAATGTCTAAAGAAAAGAAATCTATTTGCACGTATTATAATCAAATATTTTCCACAATCGAACCTCAATGGTTGAACGGTTGTACTGTTCTAGGCATTTGGTAACAGGAAACAATTGTCACATTATTGGTCAGGATATTTATACATTTAACGGCATTTCCGACGAGGGCATGTAATACTTATTTCGCCCACTTGGGGGAGCTCAGGTTACATGAGGAAAGCTTGGATTAAATCAAAGATCGTCTCTCCTTAGGAACCGGGGAATATTGTTGATTCATCCTTAAATTCAAGCTGGCGATTAAGAGTATAGTAAAACATTTCTTTGTCATCATTTCTAAAGGGATTTTGTAAGAAAGTATTATGAACAAGCATTGATTACATTAGATGAAGGAGTGTCTTGCTGAAAATAAAAACATTGCACAAGTAACTTCTTTCTTATCAACAACAGATAGCAACAACAGTTAACATAACTACTCAAATAGAGGCAAACGTATTCAGGCAACTAAAGATTTAATTAACTTAATTAAATGCTTTGAGTCTTTTGGAGACTGCAGTCCGTTTTACATTGTTAGTTCAGTGTCCTGGACAATGTCACACTTAGGTGAGACAAGGAGTATCCCTTTGATGTGGTAATAAAACAAAGAATAAGGTCAGTTGCCACGGAAACGTGTGTGGGGGGCCAGTTTTGATAGGCTGTTCAGGGAGATGCCAATGGCTGGCTCGTGTCCCTTTGTCAGTTTAACAGTCAGGCCCCGCGTTATCAGCTTCGGAATCAAAAAGGTGCCAGTTTTATGGTCGGGATAGCACTTAGAGAAAGCAACTTTGACCCCTCCCCATCTTCTCTGGGGAGGAGAAAGGAATTTAGGGTAGCTCCAAATTTATTCAATGTAAAATGCACAAATCCACACCGTTGTTCACTACATTATCTACCAAAACATAGTGTTTCTAGACAAAGTGAACTATGTGAGTGAAGAAAATAGCCAAACTTGCTTTATGGCCTAAACCTCATACCATAGTCCTTTCTTTATAAAATTTTAACTTGTGCTTAAACAGACGCATGTATGTATTGCGTTTCCAGCAACAAAGTCCAAGAGAGTGGACTCTTCAGGTAGGCTATTATTGAGTGCTTGGCACGATGATTGGCCACCACCAGACTTGTGAACTGCAAGGCCAGACTGCACAGGTGGAAGCCAATCATCTTGTAGCACCTGTAGAGAACTCAGAACAAAGCACAGGAGAGGGGGAGAGACAGAAAGGAAGAAAAAACACAAGGCCTGCTTGGAACATCCATCCATCGTCAACCGTACAGGGTCGTGGGGGGCTGGAGCCAATCCTAGCTGACATTGTGCGAAAGGCGGGGTACACCCTGGACAGGTCACCAGTCCATCGCAGGGCCACACATATATAAACAACCACTCACACTCACGGACAATTTTAGAAACCGGGGTTTGAACCCACAACCTTCTTGCTGTGAGGCGACAGTGCTAACCACTGCACCACCACGCCATGCTTGGATCATGACATAAGCAAGCGTTTCCTATTTTAAGAAGAAATTCTGAAATCATTAAAAGGATATGCAGGTGAAGTGGGTTTAGAGGAAAACGATACATAAAAAGTAAATAACAGTATATTGCTAAAAAACTGGGATGACTAAATGAACATGGATTGAATTAATCTTTAGGTGAGCTGCTTGATAGAAACAAATTGTAAAACATGTACACTAATAGCTCCTTTGTAACTATTGTAACTTAGATATGTGGGTCACCTGAGTCACTGTCAACAATCTGACTTTAGTCTTTCCAGCTCTTCTGCATCCTAGAAATGAACAAAGGATGTGTTTCCAGAGTTCTTCTGCTATACTCTTATGAAATAGAATCATTGTTAAAGTGTGAGTTAAAATGAACTCAGTTGATTCATGATAAAAACTTGTAAGCATAACATGTCTTGAGAGGTTCCAGGAGTGAAAAAAAAACTGAATCGGGGTAAGGATGTGACTGCCTGAACTGACAGAAGCAGTAACATACTGGCCAAATAACGTTAACATATTTACACGCCAGCAAGACTTGTCTATAGACTATAATACCTTTTTAATATTCTTTATGATATTAAAACATATTTAGAGTATGTATCTGCTTCTTTTTGCTCACAGTGAAAATGGACCACAGATCACCTACGTTCGAGATTTCAAAGCCAAAGTACAGTACTTCAGATTCTGGTGCCAGGTAAGAGTCATAACAGCATACAGTTCAACAGGACTACTGGTTAGTTATTCTTAAGTAACATTCTCCTTGAGTGCAAGATTCTTTCCCAACTATAATTAATCAGGAAAAGTACCATAACCATCAGCGGACCACTTCAATTTATACCTTATTTAAAGGGAACTATTTTGAGATTTGGGATATTATATGGAAGAAATCAGCTATCATGTACCACTGGTAATTTCACTGATTAGCACCCCTTCAACCACAAAGCAAGAACTGAAAATCTGTCTTGGTGCTATTGTGGCACACAATTTCCCAATCCAGTTGCATTATGTATTACTGTATACTAGTGCTGGGCAGTGATTAAAATTTTTAATCGCGATTAGTCGCATTGTTACGCGTAAAATTGAATAATGATGGGAGGGGGGCGGACCGTGTGTTCACTCACACAGACTTCACTCGGTTAAAAACTTGAAATGACGTTACAAGTCACGGTGGATATTTTACAAGCACAGACCAGGTAACGTTAAAGCAGCATTGAACACAGGGTGCAGATGTTTGTTTTGGCTGTTTGAGTTGTTTGACAAGCTGCGTCATTAACAAGCAAGCGGCTCCCCTGCTGCCGTGATAACGGATCCCGGGTGGAATAATATGGAAAAAAGATGACAGCGTAGTCAGCCGAAGCCTCCCTCCACTGCTTGTTTGGGTGGGTGATTTGCAGGCTGATCAACTTCCCGCCCCTCCTGTGACCCATGGTTTGACTGTATGTGTATTCAGAGCCAGTGAGCAACAGACTTTCAAACTAATAATAAAATAAAAACTGCGTTAATGTGCGATAAAATAATTGTTGGTGTTAATTAATGCGTTAATAACACGTTAACATGCCCGGCCCTACTGTATACATAATACAAATGGATTAATGTATTACTAAACACTCCGATAATTTGCAAGTTAATTTGAAATCGTACTGTTGTAGATGAGTCTAATAAAATAAAATCACCATCTGTGTCAGGCTGAACATATAAACTTTGTAGTATGTCAGTGAGTTGTGTGATTGATGATTAGTGAATTATGGCGTCTTTGGTCGCAGTAACTGTAAAGCAGGTTGTCGGTGGACATACCTCTGAGTACGATCTAGGACCGCTGTTATCATTTGACAACCAAAGATTCTCCATATTTCTTTCATGATTGAGGGACTGGCCATTATATCACAAAGTCAATAAAACAAATAAATAATAAAACAAATAAAGTATTATAATTATAAAGTACAACTATATGTTATCACCAGATGTACTGTAAAACAACATGTGTTAACAGTTATACTATTATACATTTTTGTTTTCATACCCATCCAGTATGAAATACAGTATTACATATTGAATGACAACAAAAAGGCACACTGTGTGTGTGCGCGTGTGTGTGTGCGATTGAGTGCATTCCACATGCATATCAACTGTGACCTTGAAGTGAATTTTGAATGACTCATGATCTGACAGTTGAAAGCACATTTGACTGCTAAATGTTTCTGACATTTGCCCTTTTCTTCAGCAACTGTCAATGCCTCAACACATCAAGATCACAGTATCCAGAAAAACCCTGTTTGAGGACTCTTTCCAGCAGGTAAAGTAACCTACCGCAGCTATGCAGTCACACCAAGCTCACTGAACTCTGGGAAGGTGTGCTTTTACACACACCATTGCCTTGTTCTGCTATTTATGTAGCCTCACCTACTCTACCTCCTAGCTAAAAGGATATTGCCTTGGTTGTTGCACCTTTTAGTAGAATAAAATTTTATCAGTGTATCTCCTAAATATAATCAATAATGGTGTCTCTGCTGGTCTTTAACATTGCAAAAAACAACAACAAAGAAAACAAACAACTTAAAGTAATTAAAGAGTTAATAAAGACTTTAGAATGGTAAATTCTTATTACCACAGGGTTGGGTGTCCAACATAACCTGTATCTGTTATCTCCTATGACCTGGTCCTTCTCTTATTTATAGACAGTAACTAAAAGTAGGACTTCATTTCTTAATTTTACTTCCTGCACTGTCTGTGTTAAGATTAAATTATTTGACAGTATTTAATTGACCAAGCGTGTTGCATGCACCACTTTACAACTTTTCTCAGTTGCTTTGGCACCATCATTCTCCAAACACTGTTGCACCTGTAAACTATAGATGTGAGAATTCTCATTTATCAAACTGACTTGCACACCGGGTTGAAACTGAGATGTAGGTACCACAGTCACTGGATATGGAAAAGACATACATCATAGAGGGAGATATGACCATTAAAGCAATGATAAAGGAAAATGTTATTTTGGTGGCCGTGATAAACTTGCTGATGAAGCTTTTTACCTTTCAGTTAAATGTTTTGAGTGAGTGACTGCAGTACAATTAAAGTGTTGTACTGCTCAGTATAAAATGCTGTGGTGTAATCACTCACTGTCAATGTTTTGAGAATGGCCACAACATGAAAGGAAAAGTGCTTAATCAATTAAGAAAAACTGTAATATCTCCGGTGCACTGGGTTATTATTGTGTGCAGTGATTACACCTCCAATCTATCAATACATTGTCTCTATTTTAGATTATGAGCTTCAACGCTCAAGATCTGCGCAGGAGATTATGGATCATCTTCCCTGGAGAAGAAGGCCTTGACTATGGAGGTGTCGCCAGGTAAGTTAAAAAGTGGCTGAACATAAACAGTTGGAAATGTGTGCTCACACGTAGTGAATAAAAAGTGTTACGGTGTTTCATTTAAATTTTTTTGTAGCTGCTTTGGTCCATCAGTCACTCTGAATAATTAATTGGATATTTTGAAACTGATTTTGTAACCTGTCTGTCTTGTGATTTTGAGTTTTACATTCGTTGGCAGTAATTCTTAAAGAATTAACTTTCGATAGCTGAAGTCTTCTTTAAATTTTCTCTTCTGAGTTGAATTGAGATCTTTTACTTCTGAAAGACATTGAATAGACTCTGTGGCTAGCTTAACACACCTTTTAGAAAAAGCGCAAGAATATCCTCTGCCTCGAGAGGCTGGGAAAATGATAATAAGCGTCCATAGGTTGATGGATGTGGATCAGTCAATTTCCCATCTTTGTCTGAGGGGAGGCCCTTAGACTCAGACTATGAAAACCCCTGACCTACATCATTAATAAAACTGAAACAACATAACAATGGCAGAGATACTGCTAGATATTCAGTGCTTCCTTAGAACAACATAAAACTACATTACAACTCCGTTATAAGCCCCGTCCCCGTGAGGGTTGTTCCTCTGTTGCAGAGTTTGTAGATGGAAGCTAACTGCTGACGGCAGCTACGGTTAGCAGTTACTTTAGCAATAAGTGAAGCCATGTTTCCATTAAGAAACTAACGTTCCTTCACATCCAAAAAAGCCTGTCAGATCTGCACTTTCGGGAACAAACATTCTAAACCTAGAGCAGTCTGAAACCTAAGCTTTTTTCTCACATTATTTGAAACTTTGGCCATGTTTAATATAAACATTCGACATTGTAACATTATTTTATAGATAAAAAATAAGAGAAAGCATAATTGGTCCCCTTTAAATTTTGTAATTTGAGTCTGAAGTTTGCTCCTATGCTTGGCTCACAAGAGGCTGACCTAGAGGGGTATGTAAACGTGTAAATCTACACTAAATGAATGCTCCCTACTTTTAATATGTTAGCCAACAGGTTGGATGTTAGCAATATTGTACTGTCCTTTTCTCATTTCTGTGCTCTCCTCTCTTGCAGGGAGTGGTTCTTCCTGTTGTCCCATGAGGTTTTAAACCCCATGTACTGCCTGTTTGAATATGCCGGTAAAGATAACTACTGCCTCCAGATCAACCCTGCCTCCTATATCAACCCTGACCACCTCAAGTATTTCAAGTTCATAGGACGCTTCATTGCCATGGTTAGTTATTTGCGAATGCATTGGTTTATAATAATTAGTACAGCAAGAAAGATCATTGTAAGAGTATTTTTAGGATTTTTTACTGTACAGAAAATAATTTCCTACACAGCAAATTGTGAAAAGATTTATTCAACCAATAATTAAACATTGTGTGTTTCTATCCCTCAGGCTCTTTTCCATAGCAAGTTCATCGACACTGGTTTCTCACTGCCATTTTACAAGCGCATCCTGAACAAGCCGTTGGCCCTCAAAGATCTGGAGTCCATAGACCCAGAGTTCTACAACTCCCTCATGTGGATCAAGTGAGTACACAGAGCCATGTGGATGACAGTTTGAGAGAAGTGTTAGTCTACTTTTACAGCAAGTCAAACTATCTCTTTCTTATTTAAGTTAATCATGAAATAATTAAAACGGGATTGATGGAATTAGATTGTTTATGTGTACTGTGTACCTCCTCTATATACTATTGCCAAAAGTTTTAGGACACCCCTCCAAATCTTTGACTTTACAACAACAGAAACTCAGCCATGAAGTGGTAGTACATATAAAATCACAGCCGGGTCGCCAATTTTCTGCAGAGTCAATAGCTACAGACCTCCAAACATCATGTGGCCTTTGGATTAGTTCAAGAACAGTGCGTAGAGAGCTTTATGGAATGGGTTTCCATGGCCAAGCAGCTGCATCCAAGCCTTACATCACCAAATGCAATGCAAAGTGTAGGACGCAGCGGTGTAAAGTACGCCACAACTGGACACTACAGCAGTGGAGACGTGTTCTCTGGAGTGACTAATCACGCTCTGGCTGGCTATCCGATGGACGAGTCTGGGTTTGGCGGTTGCCAGGAGAACGGTACATTGTGCAAGTGTAAAGTTTGGTGGTAGGGGGATTATGGTGTGGGGTTGTTTTTCAGGGGTTGGGTTTGTCCCCTCAGTTTCAGTGAAAGGAACTGTTGATGCTTCATCATACAAAGACGTTTTGGACAATTTCATTCTTCCAACTTTGTGGAAACAGTTTGGGGATTTCCCCTTCCTGTTCCCACATGATGCGCACCAGTGCACAATAGGGGTGGGGGAAAAATCGATACAGCATAGTATCGTGATATTTGCCATGGCAATACTGTTTCGATACATGAACGCCAAGTATCAATATTTTATTATATAAATTGCAGATGGGAGTTTTAACTTTTTGGTGATAGAATAATAAAATCTATTGCTTTTTTAGTCAACTAGAAAACAGGACCAAACAGAGAAATGTATCTTTTTAGATAAAGACTTTAGGGACCTAATTGGAAGTTGGAAAAAGGTAATATATTGCAATATATCTCAATATATTTAAAATCGCAATAAAATCGAATCGCAACATAAATATCGGGATAATATCGTATCGTGGGGCCTCTGGTGATTCCCACCCCTAGTGCACGGATGAGACAAGTTTTTTGTGGAGAACTTGACTGTCCTGACCCCAACCCGATAGAACACCTTTGGGATGAATTAGAGCAGAGACTGCGAGCCAGGCCTTCTCGTCCAACATCTGTGCTTGACCTCACAAATGCGCTTCAAGAAGAATGGTCAAAATCCCATGAACACACTCCTAAACCTTGTGGACAGCCTTCTCAGAAGAGTTGAAGCTGTTATAGCTGCAAAGGGTGGGCCAACTCCATATTAAACCCTACGGATTAAGCTTGGAATGTCATTAACCTTCATGTGCATGTAACGGCAGGCGTCCCAAAACCTTTGGCAATATAGTGTATCTCATGCCATGTTAGACACCCCTAACTATTTTTTAACATCTTGCTTAAACGTATTACTAGTGTTAGCGGATGACTTAATTTCCTGAGATATCACTATAGCACAGAGATGTTTGCGAGTCACAAAATGCAAATACAGGTTAAGTCAAGTCTGCAAAACGTTTCAGACTTCAAAACAATAGGTCTATTTGTAGAAACTTCACTGCTTATGAATTGCAGATGAAGAGGAAGGAATTTCAGCCGTGGGTCAGCTCAGCTCATGAAATGAAGACCACATTTAGCTAACAATGTGTTACAAATACTTTGTTTTAAAAGTACCAAATAGTCAAACAGCGATAAAAATACATCTGTATCCTTTTACAATCACATCGTAGCCTTGTTAATCCTAATGAGGTGCTTAGAAATTCCCACCCTTGAGGTGATGCATCGAGGAATCGAATCGAATCGTTGACCTGATAATCGAATCGTGAGACCAGTGAAGATGCACACCCCTAACAGCAAAGGCCATACATTGAGTGAGTCTCAGTCTCAGGAAAATCTCAGAGAAAGTATACACAAACATATTAAGCAATTGTTTGCGTACAGGCAGCGTTCAGTTGAACTCATTTTAAAGTTAAATAGTGATCAGCTGTACTGGATTTTAATGTTAGTAAGTCGCTATCGCTATAACGACTTACTAACATTAAGTCGCTATATACCGGTGAAGATAACTGTCTCCATATCAGCGCAACCCTGAGCCCCTCAAGTATTTCATGTTGATAGGCTGCTTCATTGCCATGCTTAGTCGTTTTTGAATGCATTCAAAATTGATCAGCTGGACTGGATGTAAGTCAAACAAAAAAAACCTTACAATTGTTGTAATGAGTAGCACTGTGTCACAGCTCCGCCTCTCTCTGCTCCTCCAAAGCACTATGTATCCCCCGTCCAGAATTACAGGGACTGGGTGGAAAAATAGATAAAAAATTTTGTATTGATCCTATTATATTGCAGTTCTGTCAACTGTCAGTTTGCTTCCCATCTGATATCATCATGTTAGTTGGTGCCAGAGGTGGGAGTATGCCACTCATGTCCAAGTCTCAAGCAAGTCCCAAGTTACTGTGATGAAAGTCAAGCAAGTCAAGTCATATGAAATTCTTTGGAATTCAGTTTATTTAAACAGTTTAAGAGAGGTTGCAATTCAGCTGTATGATCATTTTGGAAGATGTAAAGAGTGTTTCTGTTCTAATTATATTGAACTATACACCAAGGTGTCCCTATTATTTAGTCTACTATTGGCTTCAATTCAATTCAATTCAATTTTATTTATATAGCGCCAAATCACAACAACAGTTATCTCACAGCGCTTTTCATAAAAGAGCAGGTCTAGACCGTACTCTGTGATGTTATTTACAGAAGCCCAACAGTTCCCACCAAGAGCAGCACTAGGCGACAGAGGCAAGGAAAAACTTCCTTTTAAGAGGCAGAAACCTCGAGCAGAACCATGGCTCAGGGTGGGCGGCCATCTGCCTCGACCGGTTGGGGTGAGAGAGAGAGAGAGAGAGAGAGAGATGTAAGGAGAGAGAGAGAGATGTAAGGAGAGAGAGAGGGGAGGGAGGCAGCCTACACAATATACACACAGAGGTACACACAGTGAAGGTAATGTTGCTATAGACTAAATGAAAAATGGTACAGATATTTATAATAGTGTTAATGGTAACCGTCGTAATGTTAATGATTATAATAACAATAATAACAATAAGACTAGCAACAATAGTCGTTGCAGCAGAGGGTGTCGAGCAGGAACACGGGGGCAGCAGGTGACTTGCAACCACAGATCCAGACTCCACAGCTCCAGAGCCAGAAAACCTGCAGGAAGTGATAGGAGAGAGGAGAGAGACGAGAAAGCACAAGACTACCAGAAAGGGGAGAAGTTGTGTTAGTAACATGCAATAATGGGATAAGGTTGCATACAGAGGGAGAGAAAGTAGAGGAGAGAGGAGCTCAGTGCATCATGGGAAATCCCCCGGCAGTCTAGGCCTATAGCAGCATAACTAAGGGATGGTTCAGGACTACCTGAGCCAGCCCTAACTATAAGCTTTATCAAAGAGGAAAGTCTTAAGCCTACTCTTAAATGTGGAGATGGTGTCTGCCTCCTGAACCCAAACTGGAACCTGGTTCCACAGGAGAGGAGCTTGATAGCTGAACGCTCTGGCTCCTAGTCTACTTTTGGAGACTCTAGGAACCACAAGTAACCCTGCATTCTGTGAGCGCAGTGCTCTGGTGGGGTAGTAAGGTACTATGAGCTCTTTAAGATAAGATGGTGCCTGACCATTAAGAGCTTTGTAGGTAAGAAGAATGATTTTAAATTCTATTCTGGATTTTACTGGAAGCCAATGCAAAGAAGCTAAAACAGGAGAAATGTGATCTCTTTTCCTGGTTCCTGTCAGAACACGTGCTGCAGCATTCTGGATCAGCTGAAGAGTCTTAATTGACTTTTTCGAGCAGCCTGATAACAAGGAATTGCAGTAATCCAGCCTAGAAGTAACAAATGCATGGACTAGTTTTTCTGCATCATTTTTAGACAGGATGTTCCTGATTTTCGCAATATTACGTAGGTGAAAAAAGGCGGTCCTTCACTGATTATTGAAGAATTATAGAGTAATAGAAATATGTGTCAGTAACGGTAAGCTCTTCCCTTTCCTGTAAAATTCATTTTAAACGCTTATTCAAGGCAGATCCAAAGTTAATTAAATGCAGTTCTTGAACCGTTTGGAATAAATGCATGGTTTTGGGGCTTCTCTGAAAGATAACACTCTGAACTGTCTAACCCAAAAGTCAGAATCACTGTAAGTGCTACTGGAATTTATTAATACAAGAACACTTAAAGTAGTATTTGTCGTTTCACCTTGAAGATTTGCTTACAAATGCCTGCAGACAACTATAGCTAGAAAACACTGTGGGGCAACAGCATAAAGCCTCCCACTGTCCAGTTTTAAATTTTATACCAATACCATGAAAAATGAACATTATACACAGGTGTTTCTAAGGGTACATTTTAGCGCATTTTTTTCAAAAACAGAACTGCCCCTTGGTGGCAAGCAGCTGCTGCTGCATCATGCCGTAGCTTGACGCAGATGTGTTTCTTTGCTGGTAGATCATCAGCTTCCTACTTAAAGCTGGACGTTATTTTCAGAATTTTATTGGCTACACGATCATGTCATCGGCACAATTGGTTGCTGTTGGCTCAGCCTACCCACAAAATAATAGGGGCTTACAGCGTGGGCTCTCGTTAGCTGAAAGTGAGCTCCTATTGGGTCGAAAGGTCAGAGTTCAGCGGCTAATTTGAATACAAGATATCGCATTTGTTTACATCCAAATCGGAGTTATTACGATTACAATGACAAACTAGCCATGTCTAACAGCAAATATGAAACGATGCAGCAGCAGTCCCTGGGGATTTATTGATGAAATATTTTTACTGGAACCGAACTGAATGCAAAAAAATCAAGTCACCTGTCTCAAGTCTAAGTCAAGTTGAGTCTTTTGTCTTTTAGTCAAGCAAGTCTCAAGTCTTCAAATTTGCGACTTGAGTCTGACTCTAGTCAAGTCATGTGACTCAAGTCCCCCTCCCCTGGTTGATGCTATTAGACTATTTGTGCACTGAGTTCCGATTTCTGCTATAGCAGATCCTTTTTGGTTGCCCCTCTGTTACAATGCTGCAAATATTTGCAACTTGTTTAATTTTGATTGACCGTCTGTAAGTCTGCCATGTCTGTTAAAACTCCCTTCTTTTTAACAAAGGATGATGTGTGACGTACAGCGTTGTAACATTTGCCCGTGCTACTCTTTAGGGATAACAACATCGAGGAGTGTGGGCTGGAGATGTTCTTCTCTGTTGACAAAGAGATTCTGGGGGAAATCTCTACCCATGAACTGAAACCAGGAGGAGGAGACATCCAAGTCACTGAGGAGAACAAGGAGGAGTACATCAGGTAGGTTTGTTTAGATATGATTCAGTCATTTCTGTTATTTTTTTTTTTTATTCAGTACGTAATTCACACCGTAGTTTATATGTCAGGTTGGTTTTACTTGGTTCCACACATTCCTTAGACTAGAATGTAGTTTTTCTGAAAATGAAGCACATCGTGAACCTCAGTTTTTCTATTTTGAGTGTGTTTGAGTTTGATGAGGTAGAGTGTAATGTCTGTGTGTGCGTTTGCCCGTCTCCCCCGGCAGGCTGGTAGCAGAGTGGAGGCTGTCCAGAGGAGTGGAAGAGCAGACACAGGCTTTCTTTGAAGGCTTCAATGAGGTCCTCCCTCAGCAGTACCTACAATACTTTGATGCTAAAGAGCTTGAGGTATAAATAAACTGGAAACTCTATGATTAACATGATACATGCTTAAATCTGGATTGCAAATGGTAAAAGGCTGTATTTATACACTGACACACCGATGGCAGCCGCTGTTGCTAAGATTAATACAATGACTATTTTAAAGTGAATAACTTGTGTCTTACAGGTGATGCTGTGTGGTATGCAGGAGATTGACCTTGGCGACTGGCAAAAAAACACCATCTACAGACACTATGCACGAAGCAGCAAACAGATCCTCTGGTTCTGGCAGGTCTGTGCACCAGTAGGAGTTACCTGTTCAAGTTTTTCACTGTAATGCACAGAGACATTAAGGACATGAGAAATATACGTTTAATGACTTAACAACAAGTCCAAATAAATATACTGTGTCATGAGCCTTCATATTTTATGTTAATCGCATTTTATTATCATTGTTATCGGTTTCTCTTTTTATATGTTGACATTTTCATTCTAGTGTATGAGTGGTATTACGTTTTGAAATCATTGCAATTAAAATGTAGTGGATGGGTAGGTGGAGGTATTTATGTGTGAACTGTACCTAACAAGCCCAAGTCAGTTTAAATGTGTGAATTGTGTTATGCAGCACCGTCAGAAAGAAAACGCTGCAACATTTTGTGCACCATGCTAAAAGTAGATTTTGGTGCATTTGTGGGCACACATTACTTGCTTTTTGTATCAAATTCCTTAAGCAACTGCCAGTTTTTGTGGGTAAGTTAAATATGTCTGTTCACTATTGGTGTATATAAAAAGACAAACATACAAAAACCCTTAACACATCTTTCCCCACTAGAAGTGCATTATTTATGATGCCGTTTATCTTGCTCATAGTTTTTTTTAATGTATACTTTCTTGTGATAATTAAGTGTTTTTAAACTGCGTGTCACTTTGTCCTGCAGTTTATAAAGGAGATGGACAATGAGAAGAGGATGAGGTTGCTGCAGTTTGTCACCGGTACCTGTCGCCTGCCTGTAGGAGGCTTTGCCGACCTTATGGGTAATAATTGCAGCATTATAACTTATTTAAGTTGGCATTGCATTTTAAAATCAGCTGGCATATGCATCTAGATCAGTGTCTGGGTAAAGCCCCATTGAAACGTAGACAGAGTTTTGTCCTGTGTTGATTTATTGCATGTTCTCTTTATTCATGTCTTCTGTTTATTTTGTACTTATAGTAGCACATTTCTTCCTAGGTACAAGATATGTCTGAGATTTAACTATTTCAAGTCCTAAGCATGTTGGCTTGGAAATTATGACTTATGATTAATTTGTTTTAAAAGTAATGTTGGTTAGTAGTAGTAGATGGTGAGCTTGAAGCTTTGTTTTACTATTGTCATTGTTTATAAAGCACTTTCTTAGCTAGGTATCAGTGCGGTCTGATTATGTTTGTCCCAGTATCTTGTAACTGTCATACTGATGATGGCGTGTTAAATTAACCCTGGTCATTCTAGCTCCTTCTGACCTGTGCTTTACTTTACAGGAAGCAATGGTCCCCAGAAGTTCTGTATTGAGAAGGTGGGAAAAGAAAACTGGCTTCCCAGAAGTCACACGTGGTAAGTTCATGCACACCCTGTTTGTAGCAGTTTGTTGCAAGAAGCTGTAAGGTTTCTGCTTTAGTTTGCTTGGTTTGTTGTTATAAGTGAGAACATAATCACAACCAGCTTAAAAAAATACTTTCATTCAGCTGTTTCAAAAAGAGGTTGTAACTTGAATAAACAGCAGAGGAGAATACATCCAATGTCAAGCTGAAATACAGTATCTTTTTTATCTTCACCAGTTTCAACAGACTGGACTTGCCACCCTACAAGAGCTATGAGCAACTGAAGGAGAAGCTGATGTTTGCCATTGAGGAGACAGAAGGCTTTGGACAGGAGTGAGACGAAACCAGGAGAAGTTTAAACCGTTGGCGCAGGAGTCTGAAGAAATAAAGACCACCAGTGTTCAAATCAGGGAGCCTCTCTTAAAAAGACAGGTGTTTCGTATGTTTGTGCTCATGTATACACACACCTGTGTGGTACTTCTAAAGGTGCATGTGTGAGACTGTTGCCTGCATGTTGTTGCAAAGGAGCTGGGATTTGTGTCTACTGTGTACACCATGCTCGCAGCAGGCCTCTCAATGCTTGAATGGTATGTGAAAATGTTTTATTCTTTTAAACCAAAAGACAGAAGCTGCTCCTGTCTCTGAGAATGTGCAGCAAATTATGCATGGGATCCTGAAAACTCACCCTCTATGCCATTTCTTTAATGGGACTGCAGTAGTTTTTCCTCCTCACACGGGATATTGTAATGGTGAGCAGCAGACAACTTTGATTTACTGTTAAAATCAGACTGAGAGCAAGATTGAGTGGATGTGCTTTTTTTGAAACAGGGTTAAGTTTCACCAAAAAGCAAACTTTGTTGCTCTAAGATTGTGTGTTGCATTAGAATGAGTTGCCTCCACTTTTAGCATCATCCCTATAGTGGTATTCCTCATCACATCCTCAGATCTCTCACAAATCTTTCACCTGCATCTCTACTCTTGGCTATAGTGGATCTTTTTTTAAAGAAGGAGTAAGTGATTCTGTAGAAATCCAACACCATGACAAAAACTATGCTATAGAATGAACAACAACACAGCAAGTAATGCAGTTAACGTTAGCTAAGTTGTGGGTTAGCATACTGTTGTTACAGTTGCTGCTATGACGCTAACATGCAGAGAGGACGAGACAGTCCCAGAGCCAGCACACCAGATATTCAAAACTCTACTGCTACTATAGCCAACATCACAACAACAGCATGTCTTGGCAAACTGGAAAGTAAGTCCGCAGGCAAGTCGCACACAAATCATGGCGTGAACGGCTGGAATAGTGTTTGGTCCAGGTCACTTTGTTTGTTCGCCATTTACAGAGCTGTGTACAAACACCTGATTAGGGACAGCTAGTGGATAATGAGAAGATTTTAGCTGAATTTGACAAAAGAACATGTTTTGGATTATAATCACTTACCCCATCTTTAAGTGAATAGTAACACATGCCAATATAAGATGATAGCTTTGATATAATCAAAAAAGGAGTGCTCAAAGTTAATGGTGCTTCAAAGAGATTTGTGAAATATGCCTAATATAAGTAACAAAAGAGTGTTCCTGCTTCTATAATATTTGATCTGTGAATCACTTAATCATTGTGGAAAGTGTTGTAACCTTCATTGTTCATAGTGGTGGGACATGTGGAAGACTTCAATAGAACTTAAACTGACCCTAGTTTTATAGGGCTGGAGTTTATATGCTGTGATGCAGAATGGGGCGTCATGGGTTATTAGAGTATTCTGAGAGAATCTTTTAAGTTATTCATCTTAATATCAGCTCCAAAAACTATTTTTAAAAACAAGATAATGTAGAAATCCATTGGGGAAGAAGTAAGTATTTTAAGATGATGACCTGTGTATTCAGTACTTTCAGTAAAAAGACTCAAAGTGGAAAAACACCATATGCAAGTCAAACGAAATCCGTGTTTAGGTAAAATCTGCAATGACATTTTAAATGCGTTCTTTGCAACACTCAAAAGAAACTGCATGTTGCTCCTCATACATATGTAGCATTTGAAGATGAGTGCTGTAGCTACTACCTTACTTTAAGTCTTTTCTTGCCCCACAGCAAAACCACAAAATGAATGTGAAAAATAAATAACAATTCAGTTAAAAATCACTTACAATTCCTCTGATGTCATTTGTTGATTTAGAGACAAACATTCTATTGATATTACTGTATTACAAATACATTTCTGACACACATAATCCATTTTATGCAAAGAAGAAGAACAGCAGATTTTGGATTTTGTTAGTTAATTACAGATCGTGCACAAAGAAACTTCCAAATGCTTTACCAATGTGGAGTCCAACGTTGAGTGTGTAAAGAAACAGACTTTATAGTGTAACTGCAAACACTTGTTTGGTTTGGTTTGACATTACACAACATCTGATCAACAGTAACAGAGTTTAAGAAGATGATTAACCTAAATGAAATACAAACACCAGGTAGTGTGGTTGCTCAGTATTTGCAGTGTATTCCTTAATATGTTAGTTACACACTGAAAAGATACTTGTGGTTACTGAGGAACACAGGATTCAGGTGTTAGTCTGACAAAGCACAGCACTTTTAAACATTTGGATGTTGCTCTAGGCTCTTTGTTTCCACATACACGGTGAGGTGGTTGTTTGTCACTAGCCTTCAAGTAGCCTTATTTCCACCCTCAGGCATCGGGTATCCTTTTAGCAACTTGAGGCCAGCAGAGATGATCGACCTTGTTAATGGTGAAATGAATACTTTGGACTCTGGCTTTGGTCGGTCCTCCTTGACAATAACCAGACCAACAGGAGTTTCATAAATTTATTTTAAATAACCTGCACCAGTGTGGAAAAGCTAAACATGAGCTGATGACACGTGGCCTGTTTCAGTGGCTAAGTGTGACTTCAGCTGGAATACTACTGAGACAAAGTCAGTGTATTATAACGAATGTATCATGATGAAAAGTTGATTGGTAAAGTTGCCTATTTACATTTTTGCCTCTGATTGTTATCCCTGATACAAAGTGCTGTTTTAATCTTGTTCTGGGTCGGTCATATATTAAAATCCAGAGGGACATCGTTAAGCAAATATGTAAATATAATTCACTGCGTTTTTTGTTCTCCAGACTTTTCCATGTACAACTAAACCACTGTCACTCTGTATATGAAAACAAGTTGTAAATGGTGTCAATAACAAATTTTCTTTTTTAAAAGAAAGGTTTTAATAATAAGAGGTTTATGGTAACACTATATTTTCTTTTCCCTGTTTAATTTTGGGTGTACATGAAACATGTGTAATATAGAAATTGTCACCTTAATAAATTAAATAAAAAATGTGTACGTGTGTGTTTGTACCTTGGATGGGTGAAAGAATCAGTGACAGTGTAAAAGACTATCCGTTTTATTTATTAAGAGTATGATGTTTGGTCATTTCCACCAGTCTCAACAGCTCAGTCAGGTTAACACAGGAACATGAAATATCACATTAACATTGAAATTATAACTGTTTCAGTGTAGTAAACAAAATCTTCATTTTCAGAAAACTAAGTTAACATAATAATTCACCCTAATTGTAATGAGCCATTTTAAAGATCTGAAAGTTTGGGTTAATGTGGAAAAGACTAGAAGCTACTTACCAATGCTCAATACTGCTACAGCTAGCTGCAAGATCTAGAGCTTCTGACTGATTTCCCCAGCTATCCAATCCTGCTATAAAGTTAGTAGCAGCCTTATTAACATATAGAACCAAATAGATGAGGAAATGTAGAAATACAGAAATCAATAGATATGCATTTGCAGAGGTTTTATTTAACCAGGGGGAAAGACCCATTGAGATAAAATCTCTTTGTCAAGGGCGCCCTGGCCAAGAAAGGCAGCAGGACAGCAAGTCTGACAGTACAAACATAAAACGACACAATACAATCAAAACATCTACCCTTTTACCTCTACATATGCAACAGTAACTGCCCACTATCAAAACCAGTACATTAAAACATCTTCATGCAGATAAAATACACTAATGAAATGCCTGCTCATTTAAAAACATTTACATTCATCTTTATCTTTTAAAACCTGTAAATTAGCCAGAGGATCCTTTGCAAAGAGCTCCATGTAGATAAATTGACATTTATCTATTAATTACCAATATGCATATTCACTTAATTATACATTTTTAAACATAAAAATAGTATTACATTACCTGACATTAGACAGTACTTTAAGTTCTTCTTCATTCAGTCAATTATTTACAATTTCTTTATTTTTGTGTTTATTTATTAATGGGATATTTATGTATTTCAGCATTGATAGATTTTTTTTCTTATTGTATTTGATCCTATATATAGACCTATCAGTAGTAATCATGTGTTGCCTATTGTATTACTATGGCCTAACTGTTGTCAAAGTTAAACATTTGTTTTAGGTATCCCCGTTTTCCACGCTGGGCCTTCCAGTGTAATTTATAATACAAAAAAATAAAACTAACTCAAGCAAAAAAAAAGAGTCAGAAAGTAAAACTCATATCTTGCAAACAAACAAGTGGTCTTTTATTTTTTTGATAATACATCTCCCTCTGCTGCTTTGTCACTGATCAGACTTTTGCTCTCCCTGTCAGTTTTGCACTCATACTGTCAGCTCCCTCCTTAGCCTGACATTTTTGACACAAAAGTCTCGTGTGGGCAGGCTTTTTTAGGGGTTGCCATTGGCTGGTGAGTTTTTGAGTGACAGCACAGTGACAGATTGTATCTTTGTTTTGCTACCTGGATAGAAATGTGTGGGTTACGTTCGTGAGATAATCTGATTATTATTGGAAAAAAAAAACTGTACAGCATAAAAGTTTAGATCAGCCAACTAAGCTAAACATTTTACTGCCCTGGTGGAAAACACTTTACTGCTAACAGCGTTATTATACGACCATGTGGAGAGGAGCCTTGATTCTCATCTGACAAGTCCTTTGTAAACTTGTATGTTTGTGTATGTATGTACATGTATTATGTGGTTTTTAATGTACTGTGGTGCAGAAGCAGTGCGCTTACATGTTCTCTGTCAGTGGTCATACTTGTAATAGTTTTTGAGATGGTCTTTGCTTTGGTATGTTTGTCCAGATGAGCAAACCTTCCCAAGATGTAACAAAATGCATGATTACTGTACAGTAAAATAATGTATTACAGGAGTATGCAACATCATGTAGCACTTCGTTTATTGATGTTGCTGTTGTTTGATGAACAATTATTGTTGAATGTAAATGCTCCGTATTTGTATAGTGCCTTTCTAGTCCTTTCGGCCACTCAAAGCGCTTTTACTCTACATCTGCATTCACCAGTCACACACATTCATACACTGGCGGAACAGCCACCAGGGGCAATTCGGGGTTCAGTATTTTGCCCAAGGACACTTTGACATGCAGTCTGATGGAGCTGGGGATTGAACCGCTAACCTTCCGATTAACAGCAAACCCACTATCTCCTGAACCACAGCCGCCCCAATTGATAATATTATTAACAATAATATTCGCAATACCGTATGGTTTTACTGAATTATTAAGTAAAATATAATTTCTTAATATATCTATCCAAGAAACCTAATTTCTTGACTGGCTACTCTCTTTTGTCCTGTGTCGGCTACTGTAGCTATCTTACACTCTTGGATAGGGGAGGGGGGAGCATTGAGTGAGGAGTTTTTTTGCAATTCATTTGCAACCCTCACCACTAGATGTCACTGAAACTTACACACTTAACCTTTAACAAGCTAGGCAGCACCAGGCAACTAACTTAGGCTATATACAACTGCTGTATGAAGAACTGCTTCTCAATTCATTGTTATGTAAAACATTAGTCTGCTCCTATAACATTCTTGATATTTTAATGGAATGGTGGAAACCATTAGGTGTGTGAGTACTTGCTGGTTTCTGTAGCCACTGTCTTAATGGCCAATTGATGCCACTGACATGAAATACTCTAAAGGTTTTTTTGCTAAAGAGAAGTTGTTGATGCAGCCAGTGTCCATCTAGTGGTCATGAAGGTGGACTTTTTTGTTCACTGGAATTAATTTGTTCAGTGGAAGTATAGGAAGCTTAAATCAAGAATTTGCATTTGAGCATTGTAATGGTTCTATTTCCCTAAATAATTTAAGTCAAACAACAATATCCACGCAACAAATACCGTTTATCCTGAAGAATAACAAATAAGTAAAAAATAAGATGGATACAGAGGGGTAAAGAATAAACCAATAAGATGTTAAACAGGTTCAATGTTCCTTAGCAAAAATTGTACAAGTCTGAACTCTACTACAGTGATGAACACCAGTCTTACAAAAGGTTTTCACAAAAGTGTATAAGTGTTGTATAACAGTGTAAATTTGCTGTCCCCTTAAAATAACACATCACACAGCCATTAATGTCTAAACCGCTGGCACACAAAATTAGTACACCCCTAACTGAAAATGTCCAAATTGGGCCCACGCATCAGGGCCCAAGCAGAGGGGACAGCAAATGTACAGTGTTATACAAGCTCTACACTCACTACTTTACATTGTAGCAAAGTGTCATTTATAGTGTTGTAGTCCTCAAGATCAGTCTTGGTCTTAAGACCAGTATCAAGACCACTTTTTGATTGTCTGACTTGACCACATTTGTACTCGGTCTTGGACATTGAGGGATTTTATTTCAAGACCAGTCAAGACCATAACTTTGGGAATATCAAGGATAGTATATTTGTTAACATCCTAACTATGATTGGATGTAAAACTTACTGCTTCAAATGCAACAAGTTACCCTAATTAAAAATGTGTTACCGTTAACGACTGTTGCTCCTAATTGCGATGGTAAACATGGAAAAGGAGTGTTGAACGAAGGTGCTTACATTGATTTCAGCTCTTGGTGTTTTAATGGGAATGTGGATCTTTCAGATCAGTTTGAGAAGCACCTATGATCTCGTTCCACATTTTATTGTGTGTCATGTAATGTGGGGAACTGGTCTTGGTCCAGAACTGGTCTTGGTCTTGACTCTGTCTCGACTTTGTCTCAGCCCCTAAAAGTCTTGGTCTTGTCTCGGTCTTGGATTGGGTGGTCTTGACTACAACACTAGTCATTTCTTCAGTGTTGAAACATGAAATGATACAATCAAATATTTACACAGATGTGAGGGGTGTACTCACTTGTGAGATACTGGAGGTCCAAGATCTCCCATTGGTATTCAGCTTGGTTGAGATCCGATGCCTCAAGACAATGGGATATGATTATCTGTTATGGGATTGCGTGGTGTGTGGACAGAGAGGACCCAAATGCAGCACTCTGAGGGAAGGAGGTTTATTCAGGGAAAAAGGGAGAGGGACTGGAGGGGAGGGAGAGGAGGACGGTCGGGGAAGCACAGGCACGGGGAACCAAGGAGACAGGGGGCCAGGGAGCTGGGGAACACAGGGGCCGAGGAAGTGAGGAGAGGCAGGGGAACCGGGAGGACGCCGTGAGGGAAGTCTGAGGAGGAGTGGGCCAGTGGATGAGCCCAGCCGAACGGAGGACGGGGGTGAGTGTACCTGGGAGGGAAACAGACAGAGAGACAAGGTTAGGGAAGACAGCGACAAGGCACAGGGTAAGTGAAAAAAAACAAGAAACATGAAAGCCTGAACGTGGGGGTGGCACCGGGTATGGAGCAACGACGATCAAGCGAGGATGGTATGGAGAACCGGGGTTGAAATACAGGCAGTCATGAGGTGATTATTGGCAGGTGTGGCAGGCTGACGAGGTGGCTGATGGGATGCAGGTGCAGGTAGTTGGCTGGGCTCAGGAGCAGAGGGAGAGAGAGAGCACACAGGGGAGAAAACACAAGGAGGCAGGCAGAGAACAGAAAACTGATAAAATGGAGAAAAAACAAGGACACTCACCGTCAGCCGGGCTGCCACCACAACAATTATCATTTTCTTGTAATTTAGTTCTAATCCCCAATCGTATGTCTGAAAAAAAAATTATATGTACTTTCTTCTCCTCAGACCATGCCTCAGACTTAATATTGTGATATTTGGAGGGATTGATGGTTTCTCAAGAAGGGTATGTACTAAAAATAAATGTGTCACAGTGATGCGACCTAATGATATAGAATTCTGTTTTCCCAATTATTTTTTACATAGATCCTATATCTTGATGCTACTGCCAACAACAAAGCCTCACTGGAATTCTCCTCCTTCTTGAATGGTGTCCGCAAACATGGATGGCCCTCAAGGTAGGAAGTACAAGAAAGTTCTGCTAACAGGCCATTAGTCTTTGTTCTATGTGGTATGGGCTACCCCCTCTGGTGGGTTTTACAATTGGCTAATCCCCTGGGCCACAACTTAGCACAATGGGGCGGC